TATTCAGTAGAAAATACTAACTTCACTGGGTGGCTGTCTTTTAGCAGGTTTCAGTTTTCGTGTTTTATCCGTTACGTATGGCTTTCCGCTCACATGAGCTTCACTTTCGTTTTGTCTTTTGTGATTGTTCTTTGCAGATTCACTCGTACTAAAAGCTTGTTTATCCATTTTTCACACAAGAATACACGCTTACGTACAGATTTACCAAATATAACAAAGAAAATGACGCTCAGATAAATGAAGCAGAGCCACCTAGTCACAGAGTAAGGTACTTAGATCATCACTTTGAGCGATAATATAGTACTGGACATACATCATGCACCATCTAGTGACGCTTCTTTCAACTAGAAGGAGCATGAATTTAGAGATAGATCAAACAGCACTGCATTGGCGATGTAACATAGATCACTATGGATGAAAAAAATAAATTCAAATTGTTTTGGCACTTAGATCACATTGCCCCGCCACTCTACAATTGATGTCACAAATGACCAAATACTGACAAGAAAATCACGTCACGTTGCTGCCTGGGGAACTACAATGATGATGTCTGTTATTATGTGTTTGTGTATATCAAACTGAATAAAAAGGTTCTCTACTATGTTTCAAATGCGCAGGTTTTTAATTATTAATTAAAGAAGATTAATGCATTATCACGTAAAATTGTGGAACAATTTCCTTATATAATTAAAAATTTTTAAATAATTAAATCTATGTGGTTATCTGCAAAATGGTAAATAAATGTTTTGCTCAGTTTGACTTAATATTCAATTTGACAAACACACGACGATAAACGTCGTTACTACAGTTCATGTTCCATATCGAGCGTCATTTACAAATCTTCTAATAAATACCTTGATAAACTAATAAATAAACAATATCTATTCTAATAAACAATAAATAATAATTCTAATTCTAATAAACAATAAATATCTTGATCATTATTGCAATTTTCGCAAAACTGAATTGAACTTTTTTATTTATTATTATCAAAGTCCTCATGAGCGATTATGAAATCGAGCAAGAACCTTGTGTATGCTAAGCTCATAAATATCACAAATACATCAAATATCCGAATTATATTTATTTGCTATTTTTTTCATAATTAAAACTTTAGTTGAGTTTTGAAATAATCAATAAAAATTGACGCAGCAGTTAACATGTTAACAAAATTATTCCATTGCAAACATTATTTCTTCGAGAAAATCTTGTTAAGTTTACAGTATCGGAAGATAAATACCTAACAGTGTTCTCTGACGTGACATCTCTGACTTGCTTAATCTCCCAGAGCAATTTCTTGGTGATATCAACTACCTTCTTCTTCGTGACCTTTTTTATAGCTACTCTCTCACCCTTATAAATTCCGACAGTAGTAAAGACCGTTGCCGGCGGCAAAGACTCGCAACTGATTTGCGATCCACGACGAATCCTTTGTTCTAATCCAAAATTCTGCAATTATACAGTCGGCTGATTAAGTGTAACAACACGTTTCCTTGATAATGCAACATATTCCATATCTATAAGAATATTTATAGGATATCTAAAACATATCTCCTGAAAATTGCTAAAAAGCTAATTCTCTTATTGGGTATGGGATGCATTATGAAACTTATCGAGAAAAAACATTACAAAAGGGAAGGTATCAATAACGACATTTTTTGGATTACGTTAGAATCCCTTCAAACTATAGGGGGACCGGGTCTAATTGTCACACTTTTTACATATTGATAAAAATAAAATGGCGTATGCAATATTTCAGAATGTTGAGTACATTTTAATATAGCTACATTTTTTAGGTACAAGAAAAAAAAATATAAACCATATTTATGCATAAAGAAAGTATGTAGTCGTAAGCAAGATCGGAAAAATGTGACATCCCACATCATACTCTGGGTCAATTGTCACATGTCTTCTATATGGAGAAAACATGACAAATAATTCTTGTTGTAACAGTGTTTGTAATGTTATAGTGAAGTTAATTATATATAACCAAGTATCAATATATAATCTGTGACGTGGCAGCCTCGGAGGCGCCCGTCTCAGGGAAAGCGTACCGATTTCGCGATAGTTCCTCGCGTATCACGAAAGAATTCTCGCGAAGATTACTGATTATCGCGTCCCAGCGTATTTTTGTTTGTGGGAGACTCTAGGACAAATATCGGAGTCAATTTGTGTGAGTGGAACAGATTTGAAGGTCCTCGCGTCCCACACTTTGTGCCCCTCGGCTTCCCTTGCCGGCCACCAGGACCAACGGAGCTGAGAACTTTGAGGGACGAAGAAGCATCGACCAACGGTTCATCGCTCTCGCTCAGATGAATCGATCTCCTTAAATTTGGCGTTAGAAAATTTCCGAATTCCCAATCGCTCTGCATTATCGAAGATTATAACGATTAGAATATTTGATAACGAGAGCACAGCTACCGATAGAGCAAGTGTGTACCGCTCAACTGTGTTTACTTTTAGCAGGCGCTCGGCGGACACGGCAGGAGAACGAGACTGTCGCGAGGATGCTAGCAGAAAAAAACTGGAGCACCGATGGAGACCGCGAGCCGATCCACGACGGCAACAGTGTCTCGAGACAGGTAATGTCTCGACACAGATTTACCGAAAATTGCCGATTCCCGAATGCCGAATGCCGCTGGGCGAGAAGGGAAGCGACGGAGGACCTACGAGGATACGCGGTCCTGCGGAAGCCGACGGATCAGCAGCCTTACAGCGACCGTCGCCGCGCACAGACAAAGAACGATTTCCGTAATTACCGTATCGAGAGTGCGTGGAGAGAGAGGGAGAGAGAGAGAGAGAGAGAGAGAGAGAGAGAGAGAGAGAGAGAGGGGGGAGGGAGAGGGAGAGGGAGAGGGAGAGGGGGATAGAGAGGGGGGGTACTGAGACGTCCGGAGGATCGCCATCGCCGCCACCACTGCAGGTCATCCACAGGGAACGCCGTCGTTTTTGTAAGACCTCCCATCTGCTCCGTATTTTGTTATCATTCGTGTCGTTATTGTCTCGCATACCGTTGTCCCGTCCGCGGAGCGGCTGCGCGTCAAAAGGCTCACCCAAGGAGATCGTCCTCAGGTTTTAATTGTCGCGAGTACAATACCGCGTTCGCGCTTTCTTTTGTGAACATCACCTCGCGTGTATTACCGAGACGTGCGAGAGTCTCGTCAATAAATCTATTACTATCGATCACGTTTGGAATCAATTGTGTCATTCCTGAACCCATCCCGTCTCCGACTTAAATCATGGGGAGCTATCGGTCCCGACAGTTTCCGGGGCACGCGAATTTTGTGTCGATTCTTACGTTTCGCGGTTATCAAGGTGATGGGGCCTTTTCCGCACCTGGCGTCCAACTTATCGTTTCGCGTTGTGACGTAAACTGGGGCCGACGGCAATTTACCGATGCGGCGGACAGGCGACTGTCTGCCGTCGCTCGCGAAAAGGCGTCGCAAATCATATATATTTGTTAATTGAAAATTGTATTTATAAATATAAATATATATACATACACATACACACACACACACACATACATATATAATTATATCAACAGAAATCATATAAACTCAGATCTACTGAAAACCAATATAAATATAACCTCTTATTCTAACCGGATTAGTTATAACAATATGCGGCAATCATATATACGTGCTTCCATTCACATGCGTAAGGTCTGGCAACGTGTGACAATCAAACCTACTACATGTGAGTCAATTCACCCCAAACGTTCATGTGGACAGAACAAGATTATATTTATGTTGCTATAATTATTAACAGCGTATAAAAACAATTAGCGAAAAGTATAATATTTTTTACGATTACAGAGTAATTACGTAATCCCAAAACAAACGAAACATTAAAAATAGGAACCAAAAAGAATTTATTTGCACATTCGATTTAAAAATAAAATACTTATAAATACCACATGCGATGCTTTGGCTATAAACAATTACGTACAACTAATTACAATGTTACAGGCAACCTACACTATAGAGATGAAAATTCTTCTATACTTATTAAGTGAGATATAAGCTTTGTGAGAACCGATCCGTGTGACTTTCAGCCCCGGTCTCCCCTACTGTTCTATTCCTCTCGATGGAACTCATAACTAGAAGTGTTTATTGTCCAAGTAATTAGATGCTAAGAATGGGACACTTTTAGATTTCAGATTTACATGGAATATCATAGTTAGTGTCTGCTTCATTTCATCCTGTTATCAATGCGCTCCAATCATCATGCTTCCTCAAAAACTATTTGTATATATAGTGCATAAAATATCTAAACGATTATTTTATCCCTTTACAATTGAAATCGAGCTTCATATTAATCATTTTTACATTATATCAAGGTTTGTGAACGTTAATTCAATGTTTCTCAATGTTACTGCAATATTGACATTGTTGCAATTCAACATTTTTTCAACATTACCAGGTATGTAAATATGAAACCGGAATTTTTGTATAGAAAG